ATAAATGTCTATGCAATAATTACATCCAACCCCAAAAGAATATCATTTATAAGCCATCCTACTCTGATATTATTTGTATACCTCTAGTTATAATCTGGACCTATTCAAGCTATTATTAATATACACCATATCTTACGCTATACTGTTTGGGATTATGAATGTATCATAATTATATAAAAGTATCTAAAATAATTAAAAATTTTAAAATTATTTAAAATATAAAATCTAAAATAATAATGAATGCGACCCTCAACCTATGCTCATTTGAAGGGCCTCAGACAAATTTATATACCATCTGCACCTTCATGCTTATTTATTGCTGATGAAACATGCCAGATCAAATTCCTTATTTAACCCATTAGGAGCTAAACACCCCATTTCGTATATCCACTTAGATTCCTTCTTGCTAATTTTCTCTTGTCAAGTTATCTCCTCTCCTGTGTTGTACATGTTTTTCTACACCCCAGAACTCTAAAAGTCTTGCATCTTTGTTATGGTGTTTTTTTAAAATGCTGTGATAAATGATGGTATTTGTACCCTCTATTGATATTATATACATGTTCTTTTATTCTTTCTCTTAACATTCATCAGATCCCATCGCTCCCACCATCAGATGAAAGCTGGTGGGAGGGAGATGAGATGAAGCCAGCAGTGCTGCAAGCAAGAGGGGAGAGTGGTCATACAGGGGGGGCCCAGGAAGTAGGGGGTAATTAGCGTACTGGGGCCAAAGGGGCAGTTACAGGAACAGATCCTCTGGATGACTCTCACTGTAGCAGCTGAAATCCAGATTTAGATGAACTTGATGACCTCCAGCTAACACTTTTTTTTGGGAAAAAGTTTTACATAAAAGCTGATCATTGTAAGCACTCCTGTCAAGTGGTAAATGGTTTTTCTCAACACTGACTGCCACTTTTACTGGATAGCTCGGCCTGTTAACCACTTGACTCCTAGGCCAATACTGACATTTCTTTCATATATTTAAAAATCTGTTTTTTTTTTTTTTTTTGCTAGAAAATGACGTAGAACCCTCAGATAAATACTTTTCGATCTATCTTAACCACCTCCCGCCATATAGTACAATGACGGGCGCAAGGCGGTTCTCTCATACTGGGAGGACATCATATGACGTCCTCCCATTGTAACTGCACATGCGCAGCTCAGGGAGTGCGCGGTGATCAGTGGTGCGCTTTGTCCCTCGGACACAGCGGATCAACGATCAACGGAAAGAACCGAAGATGTCGGCTTGGTCATGTGATCAGCTGTGTCCAATCACAGCTGATCACATGTAAACAGGGAAATGCCGGTTATCGGTATTTCTCTTCTCACGATCTGTCATGCTGACAGCTCGAAAGGAGAGGAGAGCTGGTAATCAGCATTCCTCGGAGGGGACATGTACACTGATCATCAGAGCACTGATGATCAGTGTGCCCTGATGATCTGTGTAGCCCCAGCTGTGCCAGCTGTCAGTGCTCATCCATGCCACCTGCCAGTGCCCATCAGTTCCACATTTCAGTGCCTATCAGTGCACATCATTGCCACATATCAGTGCCCATCTGAGCTGCCTTTCAGTGTCACCCAGTCAGTGCCACCTATCAATGCCAGTCAGTGCTGCCTATCAGTGCCATATGAGTGCTGCCTTTCAGTGCCCATCAAAAGCGAAAGCTCTGCTTATTTGCCTCCTTCCCCCCCCCCCCCCTTCCACCGCCATATTTGGCACCTTTTGGGGGGTAGCGAGTACCTGATTTTGACAGGTACCCACTCCCACGTACGTCTCAGTTCGCAGCGGTGAAGTGAGCAGGAAGTTTTGCCCCCTTCTCCTTCCCGCAGTCTCACAGGCCCCAGGAGACTGCCGGACCAATTAGGAGGCACAGTGGGCACCAGGCTATGAAGCTGTAAGCTGTCACAGCCTGGTGCCCACAGTTAAGATGTTGGCACCATGGAGGGGAGAAGGGACGGCATGGGTGAGAACATCGCTGGACCCTGGGACAGGTGAGTGTGTATCAAAAGTCAGCAGCTACAGTTTTTGTGGCTGCTGACTTAATAAACACAAAAACGGCTGGAACTCCACTTTTTTTTTTTTTTTTTTTTAATTTTAACAAAGCGAATTTGGTAAAATATAAAAGATGATATTTCACCATGTAAATAGAAACATTTAAACGCCTTAAAATAGCACAGGCCCATGGAATGACGACAAACTACAGTACATTAAATTATCCACAGGTAACGCTTTAAAAGTCTTTACATGTTACAAGATAAAAGGTCTGGAGCTTGAATTATTACTCTTGCTCTGACGCCAGCAGAAAAGAACATTACCAGGAGTATGGCTGTAGCTGCAACCATGATCCTGGTATAACTACTTCACCCGAGGCTGTATATATACAGCCTTATGGCTTTAGTGGTTAAAAAATAACAGATGTACTGGTCGGATGATCAGGTGAAAATAAAGGAAAATGTGTTAAAACTAATGCAGCCACTACATCTAAGTATTGGTGAGCTGCAATATAATAATTTTTTGGATTTAACCCCTTCAATATGGAGCACTTTCACCTCGCTCTCTGCCCAGGCCAATTGTTTTAGTGCTGTCACACTTTGAATGACAATTGCATCGTCATGCAACACAACCCAAATTACATTTTTATCATTTTTTTTAAGACAGAGCTTTCTTTTGGGGGTATTTAATCATTACTGGGTTTTTTCTTTTTTGCTAAACAAACGAAAAAAAGACCAAAACTTTTGGAAATAAAAACCTTTTCCTTCATTTCTGTTATAAAATTTAGCAAATAAGTAATTTTTCTTCTTCACTGATGTGTGCTGATGGGCACCGTTTAGGCTGCGCTGATGGGCACCGTTTAGGCTGCGCTGATGGGCACCGTTGAGGCTGCGCTAAAAATCGGTACTGATTATCAGTGTAAATGTCCCATCACAGGAAAGTCGGTTCCACAGGACAGCGCTGAGGAAAGGTAATGCCAATGATTGGACACAGCTGATCAGATGGTTAAGAACCAATGTCATGGGCTCTTTACCTTGATTGGTGGTGCTCTGTGTCTGAAGGACACAGCACAACACCAATCACCGTGCTGCATGTCAAGAATAGGAAGGCGCCATATGACGTTCTCCCAGAACACGAGCAGTCCTGCCCGTTGGTACAATAGGCTGGGTGAGAACCAGTTAATATTGCTTTAGCACGTGAGAGTAAGGTAGTTTTGGATGGGTAATCCCTTAGGTTAAAACCCGTCATTTTCTTGCCTTCCATATTGGGAAGATTTCCCTTCATTTCCTGTGCCGGGAATGCACCTGGAAGTCAGAAATAATTTCTACAAAGTGAAGGGAACTTTGGTGACAACTGCGCAGGATGGATTTAATTTAAATCATGATTTAAATCACTAGTGAAAAGGCTTGATTTAAATCATAATTTTTAAAGAGCAACTGTCATCTCTGTCCCGCAGCGGCTTTTCTGACCCGCTGTTGACTCACCGACAGTCCCGTTCACTTTAATGGATGGCTGCTGATGCGGCAGTGACACAAGGCGAGGGACGTGGCGGCAGGAGGTGAGTGGATGTTCGCTAACAGGCGCTACCAAGATGGATCTAAAATGACAGGTGCTCTTTAAATGTAAGGAATCCGACTCATTCTTGCTGGTAGTTAGAATCTTTAATATTTGCAAACCAAATTAAGGTTTCCTTTTTGGAATAATAGCTGTCAGGTTAGTAAAACAGCAATATCAGGACCGATTTTAAGTTAATAGGTTACACATAGCTGAACTATTCAGTTTCTTTTATTTCATGTTTTTTCTCATGGTTCCTGTGAAATTATGTGAATGCATCAATGCAGTGCATGTTATCTCAGCTTGCAGAGCTTGAATTCATTGAATGAATTTACCAAAAATATAAATATTGCAGAATATACAGCCTCATGCCTACATAACTAAGCTCCATTTCATGCTGAATAAACTAAATTAATAATGTATCTTAAATAGAAAATCTTTAGATAGATTTTTACTGCAAAAGCATTTTATTAAAATTTGTTAAAAATTAAAAAAATATGATTTAAGTCAATTTTTTTTTTTCTTTAAATCATTGATTTTTTATCCACCCTGCAACTGCATAAGAGGGGAACGACGGCAGTAAAATGTGGGACTTCCCATCACTTCCTTAATGATAACAATGCGTGAATTCAGTCAGCAGTTAAACCAAAATAAAACAGTACACATTACTAATATTTAACATAGGCACATTTTTATCAGGTTTGCTTTCATAACACACCAGAAAGCAGCATTCTTATTTAAAACTATGCCATAAAGGGCTGATAGTGACAAGGCAGGCTCAAGCTTCACTAGAGAGAATTTTTGGATGAGGAGACAATCAGTAACAAGGTATTGCATGAAATGAAAATGTTACTATACAACTGTAGTATCTTTTTGGCCCCATTCAAAATTTTAAATGACAGTGCATTAACCACTTCTGGGCGGCTGTATGCATATATGCAGCATCTTGGCTGGTGGGCTTTAACGTCAAGCGGCTGCATATATGCGTACCTAGGTAAACACTTTACTGGGTTGAGAACACGCTCCCCGCACTGTAACGAGCAGGTACGGGAAAGCTTCTGATGCATAGGGACAATTGGGAGCTTTCCAATTATATGACTTCCAATCACAGCAATCACATGGTCGGATTGCCTGCCTCCTGGTATTCAGAACCTGTTAACAGCCTGGGAAGTGGCAGGAAGGGGTTCACAAACATGCAGCCAAAATTAAATGTGCAACATATATTCCAACTTAGTATATCACAAAGTGACGCCTGTTGCTGCATACTAGTTTTCCCACTCCTTACCACTACGCGTGGGTGTAAATGGTCCATTAATGGTCTTGGGAGTAGCGTGTGAAATGTGAATCTGCGTTAGATACAGTTGCCAGGTTGTAATGAAACTTTTAATAGATGTAGTATAGTTACAGGGTATGTATCTAGCATACTGACATACTTTTTTTTTTTCATAATTTAAGGCCCAAGAAGCTGCCACGAGTGCCAGAAAATCTTTTGAAGAAACGTAAGAAGTATCAAGGTCTGAAAGCAGCAGAAGCCAAAAGGGCTTTAGAAGAGAAGCGGAAGGTAAATCTGTTTTGAATAAAAGAAATCGCAGTTTATTCATAATTTTTTAGGCCCAACATGCAGAACTTCCTATACCTGACACAACACTCTCTTCCTGTACCTGTCTCCATGTTGGTGCACTAACATGTCACCATGTTGGTAAAGGCTTTTCTTATGGCCCATATAGATTCAGGGTTGTCATTGGGGTTCCCTTAAAGGAGAAGTAGGACCAAAGCTCTTTTAGCCCTACTACTCCTGTAGGTCACAGGAGTGCACTTAGTTCTGCATTCCCTTGACCTAGATTGGACTGACGTCACTGTGCCGGCCCAGGCTCTGGAGAAATCCTGACTTTAACCACTTCAAGTCCGGACACTTTTACCCCCTTCCTGTCCAGGCCAATTTTCAGCTTTCAGTGCTATCACACTTTGAATGACAATTGCACAGTCATGCAACACTGTACCCATATACAGTGGGCAAAAAAGTATTTAGTCAGCCACCAATTGTGCCAGTTCTCCCACTTAAAAAGATGAGAGAGGCCTGTAATTGGCATCATAGGTAGACCTCAACTATGAGAGACAAAATGAGAGAAAAAATCCAGACAATCACATTGGCTGATTTGGAAAGAATTTATTTGCAAATTATGGTGGAAAATAAGTATTTGGTCACCTACAAACAAGCAAGATTTTTGGCTCTCACAGACCTGTACCTTCTTCTTTAAGAGGCTCCTCTGTCCTGCACGCATTACCTGTATCAATGGGACCTGTTTGAACTTGTTATCAGTATAAAAGACACCTGTCCACAACCTCAAACAGTCACACTCCAAACTCCACTATGGTGAAGACCAAAGAGCTGTCGAAGGACACCAGAAACAAAATTGTAGACCTGCACCAGGCTGGGAAGACTGAATCTGCAATAGGCAAGCAGCTTGGTGTGAACAAATCAACTGTGTGGAAGCAATAATTAGAAAATGGAAGACATACAAGACCACTGATAATCTCCCTCGATCTGGGGCTCCACGCAAGCTCTCACCCCGTGGTGTCAAAATTATTACAAGAACGGTGAGCAAAAGTCCCAGAAACCACGCGGGGGGGACCTAGTGAATGACCTGCAGAGAGCTGGGACCAACGTAACAAAGGCTACCATCAGTAACACACTACGCCGCCAGGGACTGCAGTGCCAGATGTGTCCCCCTGCTTAAGCCAGTACATGTCCGGGCCCGTCTTTGCTAGAGAGCATTTGGATGATCCAGAAGAGGATTGGGAGAATGTCAGATGAAACCAAAATAGAACTGTTTGGTAGAAACACAACTCATCGTGTTTGGAGGAGAGAGAATGCTGAGTTGCATCCAAAGAACACCATACCTACTGTGAAGCATGGGGGTGGTAACATCATGCTTTGGGGCTGTTTCTCCGCAAAGGGACCAGGATGACTGATCCATGTACAGGACAGAATGAATGTGGCCATGTATCATGAGATTTTGAGGGCAAACCTCCTTCCATCAGCAAGGGCATTGAAGATGAAACATGGCTGGGTCTTCCAACATGACAATGATCCCAAACATTCCGCCCGGGCAACGAAAGGAGTGGCTTCGTAAGAAGCATTTCAAGGTCCTGGAGTGGCCTAGCCAGTCTCCAGATCCCAACCCCAGAGAAAACCTTTGGAGGGAGTTGAAAGTCCGTGTTGCCCAGCGACAGCCCCAAAACATCACTGCTCTAGAGGAGATCTGCATGGAGGAATGGGCCAACATACCAGCAACAGTGTGTGCCAACCTTGTGAAGACTTACCGAAACATTTGACCTCTGTCATTGCCAACAAAGGATATATAACAAAGTATTGAGATGAACTTTTGATATTGACCAAATACTTATTTTCCACCATAATTTGCAAATAAATTCTTTCCAAATCAGCCAATGTGATTGTCTGGATTTTTTTTTTCTCATTTTGTCTCTCATAGTTGAAATCTACCTATGATGCCAATTACAGGCTTCTCTCATCTTTTTAAGTGGGAGAACTTGCACAATTGGTGGCTGACTAAATACTTTTTTGCCCCACTGTACATTTTTTTGAGACAGATAAAACTTTATTTTGGTGGTATTTATTCGCCACTGGGATTTTTATTTTTTTTTGCTATATAAATGAAAAAGTCCAAAAATGTTGAAAAAGGGTGTTTTTCTTATGAAATTTTGCAAATACATAATCTTTCTTCATAAGTCTTGGCCAAAATTTATGCAGTTATCTTTTTAGTAAAAAAAAAAAAAACCCAAATTCGTTTATAACCAAAATTATAATTTTTCAAATTTTTTTTTTTATATTTATTTTTTAACATACTGTCACCCTAGCAGTACAGTGTCACCATAGTGACACTGTACTACTTGTGGGGGGTGATGATTTATTTTTTTTTTTTACACTGATTGCTTTTAGGCTGTAAAAACAATCATTTCTCCTCTCTGGCTGCATTCTTGCAGCCATTGAGAAATACTGTGCGAGCTGTGATTGCTCACAGCTTGTCATATGGTATAAGGCTGTTGTGAATAGCCTTGTACCATGTGATCTCTGATTATTCACAGATTTCACTAGTAGTAAGCAATGATGTCAGAAGTGACATCTTGTTTACTACTATTCGTGTGATCACTGATTGGCCAATCAGAGATCACATGTTTGGGACCTCACCCGTACAGTGATCGGTGCTGCGCGCTCCCAGGGAGCGCGCACAGGCTGTAAATGCGTGTGTCGCTTATGCACTGCTCCCATCCGGCCGTTTATGTACATGGGCCAGACAGGAAGTGGCTAAAATCGGGGTCCACCCAGATGCATGGATCCGCAGATGGCTCAGCAAGCCACTGAGGGCAAGAGAGAAATTCAGCAGCTCCTGCCCCCTCCACAGGTCAGCGCTCCAGTGAGTGCTGCAGGTGTGGAGCAGGTAGCTGGTGACTGAGCGATCAGCAGTCTTTGATTGCTCAGTTTTCAGTCTTGGGGTAATGGGGGACAGATGCAGCTGGGACTGATGGTGCATCCACCTAGGTGAGTATGATTTTTTTTTTTTTTTAATTCCCGAACACTTATACGTTGCTTATTTTCCTGTATATTGATATAAAGTAGTATTTTATGATAGCGTTTCTACATTCATATAGCTGTCTGTGACTGTTGAAGAAGTGTATAAATTTTGCTTGCCAAAATGTTTTTGCAGCGCCTTGCTAAGCAATTACTTTTGCAGACCTCCCCATCTTTGCAAAGATGCTTTTCTATTCAATAGCAATATTTGTGTGCTCTCACTCTGCATGCCCAGTGTGTATGTTCTTTATGCCTGTACTGTGTTTTTGTGCTGTGCTTCTGTGTTTTTGCCTATCTGCATGTCCCCACTTAATGTGTTTGCATGTGTACTCTGTTTGCTGTATGTAGGGCAGCCCACAACTCTTGACTTCCTTGCAATCATTCCAAAGTCTGTGGATTCCAGCGTAGGGAGAGAGAGAAGGAGAATGTGAAGGATATGCTAAAAATGAGGGGCACATTGAGGAGGAGAGCTGAGAGGGAAGAGGTGCATGCTCACTGAGAATATAAAGCTGAATGTTTGTAAGAACCCTCTAGTAGTGCTAACTGGACACAGGAGGAGCTCTTCTCCAAACAGTGCAGTGATGGGGGAATGAAATTCTAAGGGCCCATTCACACTGGCAGCCATGCTGAACGGGCTTTCAGTTAGAAAGCTTGATGAAGATTCAGTGGGTTGTGAGTGTGCTGATCAGCACACCTGTTGTCCACTCTAAATATGAGTGTAACATGTTGCTAAAGGTGACCCTATGCTTTGTTATTTTGACCACAGTGGATTAGGTCACACCATGCTGCACTGAAAAAAAGCCATACTATGGCAGTGTGGAGGTTTGACATGGCATGATAGGCAATAGGGCTTTTTGTTTGTTTTGCGACAGTCCCAATGCATCTTGTGTGAATGGCTCTCTAACACGGAAAGCAGGTGGTGATTTTGGTCTTCTCACTGATTAAAACTGATTTGGGTGCCCAAACCCTCCAGTGCTTTTAATAGATGGGATGTGCTCTTCTCGTTTCATGTTACACATAAATATTTTTCTGTTGACTGGTGATGATTGGGCATTATGCCACAGGCCTCCAAACAAATTCCACTTAGTGGATGTTTTGATGAGGCATTCTGTTTTTCAATCTGTGGTTTATATACGAACAAGAAGCTCTGCTTGTCCTCCTGTCGTTGATTGCCTAGCCATTTACATTGCCTAGAAAGTCCTACTTTAAGGAATAACTTTACCTTTTGTAACATGTTACGCCAGTATTTAGGGTGTAACATGTTACTGTTGCAGCAACCCCTGTACCCACCCCAGTCCCTCGTGACAGCGTGGCCTTGCGGGCCTCTGGCAACCTGGCTGTGTCATTCGTTCATTCAGAGAGTTCTGTGAATGTGAGAACTACGAGTACTTTTGTGGCTGTCAGCTTGTAGTTCTCAAACTGCCAAGTCGATGTTGAGCACTCTAGGTAGTTCAATGATGCTTCCTGTCAGTGTGTAACTGCCTGCCCATAGGAAGTACAAGTAGACAGCTTACATAGACAGTCTACAGGAGTTCTTCATTGCATCCCCAATCTGCTGATCGGGGATGCAATGTTTTGCAGGCTCCTAGTAAAAAAAATAAAAATAATTAAATGCACAATTTATTTTTTTTTTAACCTGCAAAAAGATGTTAATTTATTATTTATTTAATTTTTTTTAACAAAGGTGAACTTATCCTTTAAAATGATCATGTGTAAAAATATATATGTGATCTCCCCCGCTCGCTGTCAGTTTAAAAAAAAAAAGAAAAAAACGCAGTTGTGCAGGGCTTCGTACAAGGTATGAGCAGACAGATATATTGACAAGCCTGCAGGAATCCTGCATGGCAATGCGTTCCAGGCTTCAAGTAAAAAAAACAATATATGCATGTTTTTTACGCAAAAAGATGTGCATTTAATTAAAGGTGAACTTATCCTTTAACCACTTGGTAGCCAGTCTATAGCCGAATGACGGCTACAGCATGGTTACCCAGTTCTGAGAGGGCGTCATATGACGTCCTCCCAGAATGTGTCCTTCCGCGCGCCCCCAGGGGCGCGCACCTGCCGATCTCTGAATGCTGTGTCCTACGGACACAGCTGATCACGTGATGAAGTAAAAGGCCGATCACAGCAGACTTTTACCAAGTGATCAGCTGTGTCCAATACAGTTGCTGGTTATCGGCAGCACTTTCCTCATGCTGAGCAGATTGGCACTGATCATCAAGGCACTGATGATCAGTGCCTCCCGTCAGGGCTGTCAGTCAGCGCTGCCAGTCGGTGTTGCCCATCAGTGCAGCCTGTCATTGCTGCCTATCGGTGTAGCCTCATCAACGCACATCAGTGAAGGAGAAAAATTGCATGTTTGCAAAATTTTATAATAGAAACAAAAACCTTTTTTTTTTCTTTTTTTTTTCACGTTTTTTGCTCTTTTTTTGTTTATAGTGAAAAAAATTTAAAAAAACCCAGTGGTGATTAAATCAAAAAGAAAGCTCTGTGAGTGAAAAAAATGATAAAAATTTCATATGGGTACAGTGTTGCATTGTCATTCAAAGTGCGACAGCGCTGAAAGCTAAAAATTGGCCTGGGCAGGAAGGGGGTATAAGTGGTTAAAGTAACTGCACTACCATGTGGCTATAAATGCTGGTATATTTCCCTGACACTAATAATTGCTGAAGCAGCAGCTTGGTTAAACTATGAAATGTCTTCAGCATTGAAGATCAAGTCATACTCTTAGCTGTACCATGACCTGGATAAATGAGAACCTTCACAGAAAAATTTGGGATAAATGCTCCGCTATACTTTTAGGGTTAACTACAAGCTTGCTTTAAAGTTCCGGATGATGATGAGGAGGCGTAGCTTAGGTGACCATGTCCCATTGCTGCAAGGGGGCCTGAAAGATTGTGAAATGTAGGACACAGTCTGCAACTTTCTGCTTTTAGAAATATTGACACTTAAGATATGTCCACAGTGCATGTAATGTATTGTGCTATTTATATTTGGTGCACCTCCTTATTAGCTTGTTGATTTCCCACGGTACATTGTAGAATGTACGTTGGTGTCAACATCTTTGGGGCTGGACACCTAGGGGTTTATTTACTAAAGCTGGAGAGTCCAAAATCAGACTCTCTTCTGCATAGAAACCAATCAGCTTCTACCCTCAGCTTGTTCAATGAAGCTTTGGCAATGAAACCTGGAAGCTGATTGGTTTCTATGCAGAAGGGAGTCTGATTTTGGACTCTCCAGCTTTAGTAAATAAACCCCCTAATGTCACTGAGTACAATTTGAAGAACAGATTTTCCATATTCCTTGTTTCACTGGATTATTTTTTCCTCAGCTTCAGCCTGGAAAGCAAATAAAATTTAAACGACTAGAAACCTTTGTCCGGAACTCTAGAAGAAAAATGAGAGATGACTGTAGATTGCGGAGGATGGAGGTGTACCGGAAGAAAGTTCCCAGCTTGCAGAAACACAGACTTGCATTTGTTGTCCGAATTACAGAGTATGTCGCGGTTTTGTTTAGTTGTATTTATAGTAAGCTTGCTTTTTTTTTTTTTTTTTTAAACTCCCCTCACCCCCCCAAAACCACTACCCAAATTATATCATGGCTGAAGGAGAGGACCTGTCGAAATAAAATGGTGGCACTTACAGTTTCAATTACAACTGTTTATAACACCCATATTTTCAGCAGAAAGTATTCTCGAATCAATTTTAATGAATGCAAACACAATAAAATACCCAACTTTTTGTTAAAATATAAAAGATGAGGTTGCATCGAGTAGATACCAAATATGTCAAGCCTAAAAACTCTGTGGATCCTTGACATGTGTGGTACCTTATGTGTGTGGTGAAATTGTCATTTTGATAAGCAGATGCTTTACGTTCGTGCTTGGTTTTTACAGCAGGCTTTTACACATTTAAAAAAAAATTTAAAGTTTGATTAAATTCATTTTTTTTTTTAAACTGTGCTATCACAACGTTGGCTGATCAACCCCCTATGTGATAGTGTAGTACAGGTGTGTGTAGTACAGGTAGCGTAGTGTAGTTACAGGTTTTTTAAGGGAAACATCAGGTGTCAATTGGGACACCTAATGTCTCTGAGTACTGTTTGAAGCAAATGGTGAGCACTAGAGAACTGGAGCTGCTTGCACCAAAAAGGAAGTGACAAACGCAATGTATAAATATATCAAAGCAGTGCAGCATATAAAACATATATCCAAAATTATTCACCTGAACATGTGATTACCAGAATAAATAAAATATTTTAAATTAATATTTAGTGATGCACCGAAATTTTGGTGGCCGAAACAACATATCGGCTGAAAATAGTCCTATTGGCATTTTGCCAATAGGAAGTTTTTAGCCAATACAGATGCCGATAGGGGGACTGTGTGTACTGCACATGGGGGGGGGCAGAGAAAGGCAGGAGAGGAGCAGTGTATACAGTGAGATACGGCTAAATGTCACTGCCGGTTTTAAATGTAATTACCGGCTTTTTTTTCTTTTCACTATAGCTCCGAGAATGAGCTGTCATTCTCCCCTCCGCTAAAGGAAACTAAGGGGCAGGGTCACTGGGTAATTTCACTTTCCTTTTAGAGGAGGGGAGAATGACAGCTCATTCTCGGAGCTATGTTGAAGGGAAAAAATGCCCGTAATTACATTTAAAAATCGGCTTTGTTTTCAAATGCAATTACAAATCTTTTTTTTTTTTTTTTTTTTTTCCGTCGTTATAGCTCCGAAGAGGAGCTGTCATTCTCCCTGCCCCTAAACGAAACTAAGGGGTGGGATTACCCAGTGACCCCGCCCCTTAGTTTCCTTTAGCAGAGGGGAGAATGATAGCTCCGTCTTGGAGATATAGTGAAAGGGGACAAATAAGTTTCCGCCTGCTTCAGGGGTTCAGCAAAGGTTCACAGGAGCCCAGCAGATGAATAGCCTACAGCCCTCTCACAACTGTGTCCTGTTCCACACAACATCCCAAGAACACCTGCTGGCTGCTTCGTGCCCTTTTCTGCTCTGTCGCAAGTGAGGCAACGCTTCCAGGTTGAAGGTACCCATAGTCACAGTTGGAGGCACTTTCCCACCCAAGATCTCTCTGAGCCTCCGAATTATGGGACCCATACCCATCATTTTTTAAGTGCATCCTTCAGCACCCCTCACCCTGCATGGGTTAGAATCCAACTGCTTTTGCAATCCCCTTAAATGAACCACAATCCAAACAGAGGTGACGCATATCTCCCATCCAGGATCCAGCCCTGGTGTCCTGTACAACAGACAAACATTGCCACTCTTAAGCTGGCCATACACTATACAGTTTTCCTTTAGATTTACCAAAACCTAATATCAAGTCAAACCTAAACACTTTCAATTTGTAGGCAATCAGACAGGCCCTTGCACTTCATAGTTGAAGGTATTTCTAAAGGAAAATTGAATAAGAAAATTGTCTAATGTATGGCTAGCTTTAGGTTACCTTTTTTTTCAATTAAGCCTCCATGTGATCAGTTAGTCATAGCTGACATAGTGATCACAAAATCTGAAAATATTCTGATTTGGATCCCTATATTCAGTGAAGGTCAGAGCTGTTGATGAAGATAACAACTGGAAATTAATTGTTGTCTCTTCTTGAGACTTTTAATATATTCTCTGTGCACATTGTTTTTCTTCAATTTCGTCAGATTAATGTTTGTTTTTCTCTGCTTTCAGCATTGAAGGGGTCAGCCAGAAAGTCATGCAAATCTTGAAGTATTTCCGCTTGGGTAAAATTTTCTCAGGGGTGTTTGTAAAGCTAACACCAGAAACGTTGAAGCAGCTACAGTTTATTGAGCCATATGTTGCATGGGGGTGAGTATTGGCTACCTGGTTTGTAGTTAATTACCTATAAATGTTAGTATCCAGTTATATTCTGTGTATCCAAGAAAGAATCCAGGACTTTTTTAAAGCAATCCACTGAGCTGGCCAGAACCAACTCTTGAGGGAGTCTATTCCACATTCTCACAGCTCTTACTGTGAAGAAACCTTTCCGTGTTTGGAGATTAAATTTCTTTTCCTCCAGATGTAAAGAGTGCCCCCTTGTCCTCTGTGATGACCTCAGGGTGAATAACTCTACACTGAGTTCACTATATGAACCACTGATGTATTTATACATGGTGATTATATCCCCCCTTAATCTCCTCTTCTCAAGAGATAATAAATTCAGCTCCTCTAATCTTTCCTCATAACTTGTGGTCATCTTATTATAGATAGTTTTTTTTGTGTATTTATTAGGCAATTGCTCTCCCCCACTTTTATACCACTATGGACCAGAGCAAAATAACTTGGTCATTAAATCCTTACTCAGTCTAGTTTCACACCTATGCATTTTCCGCTGTGTTTTGCAGAAATACAGAGCAGTCCATTTAACATGATTTCCTATGGGACAGGTTCACATCTCAGCGTTTTCACCCGGTGCCTTTCTTGGAAAGGGTCAGGGACTTTTTTAAGCTCAAAACGTTGCGTATTTGGTTCTTTAGACTTCAATGGAGATGCTGCAGAAAAGCATGTAGCGCTTTTTGATGCGTTTTATTCTGCCCAGCAACAAGTTGAACAAAAAAGACGCATTTGTGTAAAAATGCAAAATGCACTGCAAAAAGCAATGCAGAAACTGATCAAACGCAAACTGCATAGATGTAAACCTAGCCTTACTGAAAAGTAATTTTTTTTTTTTTTTTTTTTTTTTCCTTCCTGTGCCTCATTTTCACATCTTTTTGTGTATGGCTTGTAGTAAGTACATACACACAATTGGTTATAATATAATAAAATACTGGTATTGTATATTACTTTCATAAAATATACAGTCTTGTATTTAAAAGTAATCAAATTCACACAAATGTATAGACCAATATGATATCCTCTTATACAGCCACAAAGTACTGAGATTTGTCTTTCTGCTCTGTTTAGTATGGATGGTGGAATCTGAATCTGTTAGATGTCTTTTGTTCAGCCTGCCAGCTGAATGAACGCAGTCTATGGGAGCATGTGCAGCCTGACTGTGTCCATGTTTGTGTCTGAAGAAGTTTATTTCCCTTGATTTTGGATTTATTTATTTTTTACAGTTTCCCGAACCTAAAGTCTGTACGTGAGCTCATCTTGAAACGTGGACAGGGGAAAGTAAATGGCAAAAAAGTTGCCCTTACAGACAATACTATGATAGAAGAGAAACTAGGTAATAAACTTTATTATCAAACTATGTTTACAAAAATGTATTTTCTTTGCTGCTGCCTAGTCTACTTCATCCCGTTCAAAAAATTGAATATTCTGTGTGGCAGGGAGCTTTTAGTCATTCTTATGCATTTGCATGCAGTTTTTTGTGGTACACTTATCTAATACCAAGTAGTACACATTTTTCCTTTAAAAGTGGTAGTAAACTCTTGTGTGGCATTTCTACTTACAGGTAAGCTCATAATAAAGCCTACCTGTAGGTTTAATGAATATCTCCTAAATGTGCACCACTTAGGAGATATTCCAGCGAGCAGCAGCCAGTGACATCACGTGTATGTCGTTCCTTCAGAGCTCTGTGCCATGCCTGGGGTGTGACGACAACACGGCACGCCAGTCAATTGGCCGGAGCCCGCGAACAAGGAAGGAAGACAGGGTGAAGACGGAAGCTCTATCATCAGTGCCAGTGGAGAAGCTGGAGGGTTTCATTCTAAGGTAAGTATTTCATAATGTGCTAGAATTCAATGCATACTAGTACATTATGATATTACCTTGCAGAGGGAAACTTTTTTTTTTTTTAGAAATTTTTCTACCTCTTTAAAGCTAAACACCAAGCACAAACGCTTTCATTTAAGTATATTGTTCAACGGTCACAAGAGATATACTGTATGTGCACCCAATGCCTTTGCAAACCCAGGTATTACCTTGAAAACATAGCAGTGGCATAGTCACTATGCTGCACCTAGCCTGTGCACTGTGGGAAGGACCCAACACAGCACATCTACACACTACAGGCTGCCTGTAGAAAGCTACATTAGGGGCAGATACAAGAGCAGTCACCCTGCACACAGAGGTACAGCAGCCGTGACTGGTACAGATAACAGGAAGTTTTGCTCTGCAGCACCAAAACTGACTCCACTGTTTCCTTTAACTACAAAGAGAGAATTAAAAGAAAGTGCAGTATTTCTTTCATAAAAATAACCCATTTATAATACGCAAAGCCCATCTTCATTTTCATTTTTTTTTTTACTCATGTTTTTCTGTCCCTTTTTAGGAACGTTTGGGATCATCTGTTTGGAAGATGTGATTCATGAACTGTACTCTACAGGAAAACATTTTGTAGAAGTCAATAAGTTCTTATGCCCCTTCGTCCTATCTATTGCTAGGCATGCAGGCATTAATAGGAAGGGCTATCTGTCTGAGGTGGGGGATCCTGGACATAGAGGAGATGCCATTAATGATCTGATTCGGAAGCTTAATTAAATAAAAGGTAAGGAGCATAACAACATAGACTGAGACAAGTTATTTCACAGCTGACTTCATGAGACATCTACTTCTGGTTAACCTGTTCGTGCAGAGAGTACCAAAATTTGCAGCCTCTCGGGTGGGCCTTGATGTCAAGAGGCAGCATATCTGTGTATAAAAATGTAAACAAACCTGTGCCGATCATGTGACTGCTGTGACAGCCAATCACGTTGGTCACTTAATCATGAACCCTGCCCCCACCTCCCAGCATCAGATACCCTTTAAGGGGCTCGGGAGGTGCCAGACATAGGGGGGTTAAGGACTTCCTGCACTTATGGAGGAACTTTCAATAATCCTTGGCTAGAAAGAAGTAGCCAAAAATCTACTTCCCAAATTTTGAGTTTTCCACAGAAAACGAATAGAGGGGAAATGTTCCAATGGGAACACTAGTTCTGGTGACCTGGGGGACCCAAAGGAATTCCTGTAATTTGCAGGGATTTCCTCTCACTTCCTGTTTGTCAATGGGACAGGAAATGAAGGGAAATCTCTGAAATGAGACATATGGTGAACAAAATCTAATAGGGATTATAACCCTCCCTTGCTCTATCCAAAGTGAAAAAAAAAAAAACATTTTGTCTATAGTTCTACTTTAAGATCGACTGCTCAAACTCTAAAGGAGGGAAGTCTTTTTACCCCCTGAAATGCGTTGGCTGTATCTGATGCTCTTAACCATGAAATGTTTTAAAGAGTACTTTAAGTGAGATGAACGTTTTGTACCAGGTGCTCCTCCTTACAGATCCAATAATTTCCTGCTGTTTCCTAGGCACTTCAGGATGCAGTGTAGTGATTCAGGAATCAACAGGAGAAACCACAGTGGCCAGCAAGGAAATGTGAAATAGGATTGGTGGTAGGAACACTGCCAAAGAGTTTTTACCCTCATAGACTATAAAATGTGCATCTGTAACACAGGTGACACATGCATTTTCTTGCATTTTTGTGCCTGAAAAACTCATCTCCTCTAAAACTGTTCTGCTAAGGAAACAAAACGCCTGAAGTTAGATACACATGCAAAAACATAAAAATCTTGTAAACAAAAAAAAAAAAAACCTTTAAAATCACTAGGAACACCGGTGTGAATATGGGCAAAAGCCTACCTTGTCCACAGGGTGACAACACTGCTGTGCCATTTCACTTCAGAATGAACAGTACCATTGCTCTATTAAAGGTGGAATAATGTACTGGGAGGATCAACAGGTAATAAAATTGTCTCAAGTGTTCAATCTCCATTATTGGGGCTCTTTGACTTGCTGTGCAATTTCCTGAAAGTTGCATAAATGTCTCAAGGAGAGTTTGCTTCATATTTATATGTCTCATATATGGTACATGGAATTGTTTCAGTTAACTGGGGCAGGAGTTCCTGTATAAATACTGTAGGAAAAGGAGGTGAATTGTTGCTCTTTTATAAACCATGTAAATGACACTGTTCATTTTATGATCTGTAGTGAAAGACTTGGGGCTTGTTCACATGTGCTTCAACTCTTGCTACCCCTCTGAAAAGCGATCTGCATTGTTTGACAGGTGGAGATATGCCTAATTTAACCTGTAAATTATGCACCACTATGTGCATATCATGCAGTTGCGGGGTGGCCACAGACTTTTGCACAGTTTGCGTTTGGCAGCGGTAACACCTGCCGAATGGGACATGCTGTATTAATTTTTGTCATGAAGCACAGCATTGCACCCTGCCTGCATGCCTGGTTTTACTACCTGCTGTCCACATGTTTGAATGATCCCCCACATATAGATTCTGTTTGCAATGGACAGTATTAAGTTCCTTTCCTGTAGTTTGTATATTTGGCCAATTTATGTATTATTACATATTAACATGTTGGTATTTGATGCAGGCTTGTGTTATGATTGGCGGCTTTTCAGAAGAACACCACCACAACATATGGACAATTCTTGCCTTATACCGTGATTTCGAGCTACATACAGCGTGACACTAGTTGGCTAACTTATGGCATTGGAGAGATACTTGTCACAATTGGACCATACCATTCAGCCTAAGGATCACGGAGACACAGAATGGATTAGAAATGGACATTGGAAGCTATTTTCATTATTTCTTTTGTAAATACTTTTTACATTAAATAAAATTTATGGTTAATGTTAACATTTCCTTATAGCTGGTAACCCGTAAAGGCTAAGTTAAAGTGTACTATGGACAACACTCCAGGTCCTCCCCCATCCTCTGGAACTCACTACCCCAATCCATCAGAGTCTCGCCTTCCCTCCTCACCTTCAGGCGCTCCCTGAAAACCCACCTCTTCAGGGAAGCCTACCCCACCCTCACCTAACAGCCGTTCTCCTTCATTCCTCCCACCACTCCATCCCCCACAGCCATTTCCTCCTGTATCACTACCCCCTCCCTTCTAGATTGTAAGCTCGGAAGAGTAGGGTCCTCTAACCCCTCGTGTGCTGTTTGTAGTTGCTGTACTGTTTCATGTATTGTCCCCCCCTCTATTGTACAGCGCTGAGCAAACCCTTTGGCGCTATATAAACTCGATATAATAATAATACAGTCATGGCCAAAAATATTGGCACCTCTGCATTTCTGTCAGATAATGCACCATTTCGCCCAGAAAATTGTTGCATTTACAAATGTTTAGACATTCTCATGTTTATTTTTTGTATTGGTATGACACAAGAAATAGTGGAGAAACAAAACCCCAAATCTGACCCAATCCACACAAAACCCCAAAAATGGACTGGACAAAATTACTTGCAGCTTCTCAAAATTGTAAGAAATAATTACATTCCAAGTTTATGATGCTCCTGTCATTTGTAATTAAACTCTCCTGCCTCCGTTACCTGATCTTAATGTTCCTGTGTCCACTGTATGCAACATTGTCAAGAAATTTACAGCCCATGGCTCTATAGCTAATCTCCCTGGATGTGGATGAAAAAGAAAAACTTGATAAATTGTAGCGAAGGTTTTGTTCAAACAGTGGATAAAGAATCTCAATCAACTTCCAGACAAGTTCAAGCTGACCTTCAGGCACAGGGTACAACTGAGTCAGCTCGCACTATACATCACCATCTGAATGAAAAGGGACGCTATGGTAGGAGACCCAGGAGGACCTCCACTGCTGACACATAAAAAAGCCAGATTGGAGTTTGCCAAAACTTGACTGAGGAAGCCAAAATCCATTTGGGAGAATGTGTTGTGGACAGACAAAAACAAAATTACAGCTTTTTAGTTCTGTTTTCAGAAAAAGAAATGAGGTCTTTCAAGAAAAGAATACAGTCACACATGGTGGAGATTCACTGATGTTTTGGGGTTGCTTTGCTGCTTCAGGCACTGGATGTCTTGACCTTGTGCATGGCATTAGGAAATCTGAACTCTACCACAGGATTCTGGAGTGCAATGTAGGGCCCAGTGTCAGAAAGTTGGGTCTCCGTCAAAGGTCATGGGTCTTACAGCAGGACAATGACAAAAAGCACCCAGAAATGGTTTCAGACAAAGCGCTGGAGAGTGCTGAACCGGCCAGCAATGAGTCCAGATCTCAACCCCATGGAGCATCTGTGGAGAGATCTCAAAACAGCAGTTGGGAAAAGGAACCCTTCCAATCTGAGAGACCTGGAGCAGTTGGTGAAAGAAGAGTGCTCCAAAATTTCAGTAGAGAGGTGGAAGAAACTGGATGGTTACCATTGATTTCAGTTATTTTTTCCAAGGAGTGTGCTGCCAAATATTAAATTGAGGTGGCTATCCATTTTTTCTAGTCTTTTTTTTTTGGGTTTTCCGTGGAATATGTCAGGTTTTGCTTTTTTTTTCTCTGCTTTTGTTTGTCATACCAATACAAATTAAACTGAGAATGCCTCAACATTTATAATTGCAACAATTTTCTGGACAAAATGGTGCATTATCTGACAGAAATGCAGGGGTGCCAATATTTTTGGCCATGACTATATTCTTTTGCACAAAAATGGCAAAAAAAACTTTAACCTTTTTGAAAATTGACTTTTTGAAGAATCACACACATTTTCTTTGTTTAATGCAGTAACACACATTCACTATTCACTGGTGTGTTACACGTTTCACAGAGCCAACTGTCTGAATCACAAAGATCCTGAAAAGAGTTTCAAGAGGCACAATCCTTTTAGGAAACACACCATATCTGCTTACAAGCAGCAAGGTACCATGGGATATGCAGTCCTTAGAAACTACAAGTAAATCAAAGGAATGAGTAGACAAGAAGCAGCAAAGCATGCTGCAAATTGTTGGCTGCATCATGCTATCACAGTTTCCTATGCACGAAGGAACTACCATCAGCCATTGCAGCTGACTGCTTGTAGTTCTGAATGGATTGCAAGGTTGCTGATGAGCCACCTCCTAGTTCCTTCACAAGCTCTGTAGCTTGTAAACCAGGGGTAGGCAACCTTCAAGGTGGAGATCTACCTGAACAATATGGGAAAAGTCAAAGATCACCTGGCTCAGTGCCGCCTCCTCACTCCTGTTTTAAACCTCTAATTGCTGTACAACCGTGTCGCAATCCTGGGTTTAAATCGGGTGGTGAAGAGGCAACACTGCCTCTTCTCCACCTGTCAAACACACTGATTGCTTCTTAGAGAAGTGCAGGATATAGTAGAAGTCTATGGCTAAGTGCAGCAAACCCACAGGAAAGCTGCCGGTACACTGCATTGCACTCGTGGTGTGGGTAAACTGTAACACATCAGACTGAAAGCAGCCTTATACTGATAAGCCCACTGTATTGCTTCACACTGACCTGAAGATCTCTTCTTTCCTGCTGCTGGCAGTACTCTAGAGCAACCTTTTTCAACCAGGGTGCCTTCAGGTTTCTTCAGGGGTGCCTTGGCAAAATGCCTTAAAATTGCCCAAAATATTGTATTCAAGCCAGCAGGCAGATCAAGTCTGCCTTTGTTACACAGAGCCAGGTTTCCATTGTGCACCAAAACATTCTAGCCGCTGGTGACATAACTAATGATGTCATCAGTTG